TTTTGTATACTAGTAGCCAATCAAATTGAAAATAACTAAAAATTGACAGTGTACAAGATTAAAATTCATAAAATTCGACCTACAATCCTACAAATGATGTGACATGTTGCAAAGAACATAATTACTTGAAAGATTTTGGGTAATCTGCATTACGAGTTGCATCAATTACGTAAATTAAAATTCTCAACTCGTCACGGAAAAGGGAATCAGTGCCTGGCGCATGGCGCACCAACAACTCGCGATCCTTTCGACTCAGTATCGAAAATTGCGTTGCGCTGATACAGTAACAACTGGTGTATCAACGCTCGTAACGCATACAACTGCGTTAACGCAATAACGCAACGCAGCGCTGCGTTACCCATGTCTAGATTATGCACTATTAATTCTTGGGTTCAGCTAACTAGTTCAGGCGAACTAGTTCACCTATCTTTGGAAATATTTCGCCAATTCTATTTATTCTATTCTTGTCTTTTAAGGGGTTTATGTGGATTAAGTTCAATTAAATAAAAGTAATTTTTTCGTTCAACTTTTTATTTTACTACCATATCTTAAAAGATCTTAAATTTACAGAAACATTAAATCACAGATACATAAAGTCTATTAGTGCAGTCTAACTTTTTAGTAAAATTCTTTGCTGTCGATTATTAATGTATGACCATTAAATCACGTAAAACTACGGAAAAATCGGAAGACTTCTATTACTCTATCATACAGATATATGTCTATAGACTATAAAATCTAATTTTATTTATAGAAACAGACAACTTTATCTGGTGTCATATTTTATTTATTTTTGCGATGAATTTAAGTGAATGAAATCTTTTCTAATAATTTTTTAAAATTTTCATATCATGGCTCACCTTTACTTTATTGTCATAATAATTATAACGCATGCAATTGTTGGAGCCAAAACTCAAGAAACAAAAAGGTGTTTGAGTGTAAAGGGCCGATTAAGAAATAAAGACGATATTGTTATCAATATTTAACATTTTGTGAAGGAGAAAATATACATCACCACATCCCTTTCAAAAACCAACTCAAAATATGTACATTTTACAGGAGAAGAAAATAACGTATTTTTTTTATTATACTCTTCACACAGTAGAAGAGTATTATGCATTTGGTTCCGTCGGTACGATGACACTTTTTTTGTCAGCACCATAAGTCAAAAATGAAAAACTATACAATTTGAAAATTTCAGGAAAAATCAAGCTCTAAGGAGACGAAGCCTTATGATTTTCAAAAAAATCTTAAGAAAAATGGGGGAGTCAGGAGGGGTTGAAATATCGTAACTCAAAACGAAAAATTATATTTACTTGAAATTTTTAGCAAAAATCAAGCTCTAGAAGGGGACAAAGCCTACCTATTGATTATGAAAAAATCTGGTTAACAATTATTTTATATAATCTATAAGACATCTGACAATTCTTAGTATTTTATTCAAAACCTTTGTCATATTTTTATGAAGATTCTGATAGGTGTCTTTATCTCCTGAATTCATACGTAAAAAAGTATGCATTTAGAATATGAATATTCCGGGAACTTGAAATTTTATTGAATAATTTTTTAATCATTGTTAATGAGCCGCTACTATCTAGGTGCTGGTGTCAAAAAAACATTTCTAGAAAACTTAATTTTTTACTAAAATGGAAAATCATACTTTATCTTCTGGCATGGGAAGACAGAAATAATTGCCAAATTATTAAAAAAAAAAGCTCAATATTTTTTATTTATTTAAGTTTCTTTCATGTTTCACCACATTTTCATGTTTCACCACATTTTCATGTTTCACCACATTTTAGAGGCAGAATTAATTTTTATAGACGTTACAAATTTTTTTAAAATATCAAAAAGACAACTACTTTAATCGAACAAGAATTATATAATCATTAAACTATAAGCTTTATTAATATTAAACTGGATGTTAATGAATACGTGTTACAAATTTATATGATAGATGCCTATGTACGGGACACGGAGCATGACTGCTACTATGTCATTTATTGTGGTACGGGATTAAAAATGTAAGAACCCGCAGTGTAATATTTAGCTAATTTGCATAGGCGACGCCACACGAGAGCAAAGGGGGATGTCTGTCTCTCCCTGGATCTGTGATTTTTTCTTTTTTTGCCATGGCATTCGACTACAGCCTCTGGAATATTTACCCTGTCTATAAGACTTCCCCTTCCTCAAAATTTTTTTAACGGCGCCCATGCTAATTTGTATAAACTGGAATCCTCATAAATGTGGACATTATCTCATATAATCTTGTTACCATAATATGAAGAATATAATTATTAATTTAAACTTATTAAAAATATAAATTAACTTTTATCAATAAAGCAAAATTTTAATTTATTCAAATTGATATTGTGAATGGTAAATATTAACTTGTAAGAGACCCATTTCACGCTATCACGATCCAGAACAACATGAACAGAATGTTTGTTTCTATAGAAGTGGCAAATATATAAACTATGTGTTTACTGACTCATATTGTAAGGTACTCTTCAAAGGGACATTGACCAAAATAAAGAGCCGGGTGAACTTATTTTCTTATCAATAAACGAGGTTGAATAGGTAATCAGGGAGATGGCAGAAGGAGGAGAAAGATGATTAGCGCTATTCACGCTGGTCTGCTGGTACGGCATAATGAGACATCGTAACGGATAAATTAAAAAAAGGGGACTACTATCTTATCTTCAACTGGAAAATTACCCCAAAGAAAGAGAAATTGTGCTAGAGAAGAAAGCATTAAAAGTCACGGCAGGAGTTACTGGCACTACTATTATTGAACATCTTGTACGATTGAGTCCTGAAACTGCATCTTGGTGAGGGGACAAAGGCCATTGGGTTTGCTAATGACCTGGCAATTCTGGTCAGGGGCGGAGATCTGGAAAACCTTGAACAACGGACAAAAGTTGCACCGAGTCATGTAATGGACCATAAATTAGAATTGGCGCCTGAAAAAACAGAGGTCGTAATACTAAATGAAGTAGGCAGACAAAGAAATACTCCTCAAGCCTCAAATGGAGTTGAAGTATCTACTAAAGGCAAGTATATAAAGATGGCCGTAAATAAGGTGTAGGCAAGAGTAAGAGCTTGTTCCAGACTGATGAAAAACATTCCTCAGAGCAAAAAAGCGAGATACCGAGTGGAGTAATGTAGTATTGTATTCGCTAATGCAATAAACATCGGAACATACAGGAAGCGATTAGAGAAGACACAATGGAAGGTTGCACTGAGGGTGGCGTCTGCTTACAGGACAACCTCACTTAAAGCAATCCAGGTAAGTACGGGAACGGTGCCAATACACCTGCAGGTTGCAAAGAGAGCAAGACTATAAAGGAGGAAAAACTTAAGGGAGGAAAAGCAGATCAAATGGAACACCAGCCTACAAGACTGGCAGCAGAAGTAGCAGAATACCAGGGACGTAGCCCAGTGCAAAAAAATAATAGTGGTACAGGTGCAAACATAGGCATTTGGACTATTACACCACACAGCTGCTGATGAGTCATGCGTGCTTTATGTCCTACAAGAAAATAATAGGGAAAACGGCCCACACAATATTTCACTGCCACTACTGGCGGGAAACGGAAAGGCTGAGAAACTGGGTCATGACGTCATGATGGGACTGGTGCCAAGAGAGAAGAAGGTAGGTGAAGTACTAATTGCGGATGCAAATGCTTGGGAAGCATTTATAAAAATGGCATAGGACATTTTAAAATTAAAAGAAGAGGATGAGAGGGGACATTGGGCAAACAGATGGCAATAAGACCAATCGCAAGTAATTGGCTTTATGGCAGAACAAAAATAAAAACCAGCATCCAGAAGAATGTCCTTGAAGATGATGACAGGATGAAGGGGCGAAAAGAGAGGGTTTAGTGGGTAGGTCGGCTTTGTACAACACAGTCGGAGTCCCACACAGTACTTATGGTGTAATTACTTATATCTGTAGTGCCTCAATTGTACTACATATAGCCCAAGAGCCCACTGCAAATTTTTACCGTCATCTGATAACGAAATGAAATATATCCCAAAAGTATGGACAAACATTGTACTTTACCAAATGGCACCTGTGCCAATCCCAATCCTGAGCAAAGTGGCTTAAAAAAATTATTTTATATTAAAAAAATCACAAGGCATGACAGCGCTAATTTTGTTTGCCCTTAAAGTTTTCCAGAAAATAACATACAAATATATCTTGATATATATCGTTAAAGGAAAATATTTTCTTCCTCTTAACATCGCACTAAAACATCTATCTACAATTAGTAGGTAAAAATCATTAAAAATATGAATCAATTTTTGCTGATTTAAAAACTTATTTGTATGCCTATTGTTGTGATTCATTTTGACAGGTTGTCATAGAAACGACAAAAAAACTACTATGATTATAATTTTAAATAATTGTCTAACAAGAGTTTATAATTATTATTGACTATCTCTGCAAATGGTTTATACAATGCCATCCTTCTTCCTTTCACACATAAACATGGTTTAAAAGGTAGGTAAAAATATTAATAATTCAGGTTTAAAAGCTAGGTTCACAATGAATTAGGATTGTAATTTTCAGGGAAAATACAATTGTCGCTATCATGACTTATGTGATTTTTTGAATATAAAATATGTTTTTTTTAACCACTTTGCTCAAGATAGAGATTGGCACAGGTGCAATTTGGTAAAGTACAATGTTGTTATATGCCTTTGGAGCATATTTCATTTCGTTATCAGATGACGGTCGAAATTTGCAGTGGGCTCTCATACTAATACGTTAGAATGTTACACACTTGTCACTTTTTAGCCAACCCTTCAATTCGTGACAGTCATAAATAAAAAGGATAAACTCATCTCCTAAGCAACTTCGGTTGCTAAGAATCGATTATTGATCATCATGATTTTATTTTTTAATGTTTATACATGACATATCATTTGTACTACTAAATATACCTTACCTATACATATCCAACGACAATTATTTAATATGATGGGATAAACAAATTTAAAGATCCTACAATATCTACCGACGTGTTCAGAAAATTACGATCAATCTCCGTTACAAATGGATAAATCAAAGGGAATTATGCCCGAAGAACGTGGAGCTCAACAAATCGAAACAAAGCATTTCATTCATAAAAGAATATTTGACATATTAGGTAGGTATACAACTATTATAAGAATCACTTTGTAGTCTTTGACTATAACGAGCATTACTCCTAAGTTCAGTATTAGCTCGAAAACGGTGAGGTTTTGCGAATATAAGTTGTATAAGTAGTTTTAGTCCTCTAAAAACACTATAAATTTGTAATACACACCGTTATCAAAAATTTCCATTATAACGAATGATCGTTTATATTAAACACGAACGTCTATGACGCTTAAATAAATAATAAAAAATATTGATTATTTGTACTTATATTTAGGAACTAGAAATTATCGATAAATGTTTCATAATGAATGTATTAACTATTTATGATAAAAAAACGGAATTTTTATTTCCGGCTTTTATAAACCAATTGGGCAAAATACAACATAAACTATCAATAGGACATTATTAAGTGTTTTTTTTTTTTATTGATAGGATACTTACACATATTTTTCTAAAAAGTAATTATTTTCGCTTTGAAATCTTAGCTGAAAATTGATGTTTTAAAAAAAATTTGGGAATAATTATCATAATAATTATATAAAAAATATGGTCGTAGAAAAATCCGGTTTGTACCTACTTATTTCGAGCAGAAATTTCCATTTCCGCTTTTGATACACAAATAGTTAATTAGATTTTAATTTGGTGTTCCTATTACATTTATAAATAATAGATAGTTCTAGCAATTTTGATTTTAAAATAGCACTTTGCCAATGTACATACATTGTTAAACGATGAAATATTGTTATGCATTTCCGTTGTACCTACATACACACTGTTTTAAAAAAGAGGACGTAATTTTAAACCCCCTTTTTATTTATTTGATTTTTAATTACTTTACCTTTTAGGCTTGATAAATATTTATTATTTATATTCTGTTTTAAATTTTACAGGGAGCTTCTGTTTTGTTTCTATAGGAACTTGTAGATATAAAATTAAACCTAAAAATATCAATATGTTAATAATAATAAAAAAAAAAATAATCTCAGAGTTGGGTAAATTAGTTTACCAAACCATAACTAACAACTTGAAATGTATAATAATATGTTAGTTATCAAGTTTAAAAAGAAAGTAATATCTGACTATTTATGCTTTCGTCGTTGAAATATATTTCTAAGTATACCTTCTTTACCTTCTTAACCAATACCCACAAATTCGTGTTCATAAAAAAAAACCGTAACATTATTTTCTTCAATTATAGTTTCGGTTTATCTAAATTGCAGACTAAATAAAGTAGGTATAAAATAAGAAAGATAAATAATTAGTACCTACTACCCATCTCTGTTCACCCTTACATCAAAACTAAACCTATATTTTTATTTTTAGGAAGAATTGGTCCTACATAGTGGAATTTATACCGTATAACATTGGATTTGATTTATTTCAATTTTAATCCAACAAAAACTTGTAATTTCAAATCCAATTAAATTTAATTTCTTACCATTAGATTTTACTTAGTATTTTCTATTTGGCTTATATTTGAGCTAACTATTATTTATTTAAAGCAGTAGACAGCTCTATAAAATTTATGATAAAAACGACACCGTTAATCACGATTTCCATTGCATCTACATACCTGTATTTGCTTAGAATAATTCTGACAATTTCGGATATAATTCATTGAACTATATTTCAGATTAACGTAGAATTTTCATAAATTTACTAGAACCGTTTACTGGTTTTTATTGAGAATGATTGTTTTAGTTTTTTTTAGGTTTTTCTGAAGAATTGATACTTGGTGGTGTTGCGTCTACTACGCTTACAGCAATACCAACTTGTGCTGCATAATACGTAGACATTATTAAGACCTAAAATAAAAATTGTTATTATTAATACTAAGGCTGTGATTTGCTTTGCATAAAAATACAGAAAATATGTATTAGTGTGGTCCATAATAAGAAAAATAAAAGTTAAGAATATTTATCTCCACATTGCTGCCCTTGTTTCTTTATACATACATAGTCAATTACTAAATTAAAATTTGGATCAGTTGGAGAATGCTTAGGGGTACCTATGAATTGAAAGTTGTGAATTCCTATTTTTGTTTCTAACAGGCAAAAATTGACCTATATGACTACAATGTCCAAACGAAAAAGATTAGGGAAGCAATGGTTCGTTACTATGGTGCCATTTTAGAGAACTCACATAAGTCAAAGCAGATGACTACTGGGAGTTCTTGCCGTTGCGTAATGTCTTTCTTGGAGAATCAAAAGTAAAGATCCGGGCCCCAGGTGGTTTGCTTAATGCGCGTTAGATGGCAAAGTCTATTCATTCTCTTAAAATGTATTTATTTAAAGATAAAATTACCTTTACATCTGGAGAAGAAAAGGGAATCACTGATGAGACATCCAAGACTGAAAGCTGTTAGGTATGATGTAATTTTTTTAAAGCTAATCGAAGCTTATCTCAATTTCAATGTTAAGAATTAGGACTGGCTCTCTTTGATTCCCGTGTCAGTGACGCCACCAAAATTGTGATGGTTAAACCTACACACACTTCGCACAGCAAACGGAAAAGAAAAAGCTGCCTCTTTCCTTTGCAAGGACTCTAAGTTGTGGCCTTTTGATCCCAACTACATTGATCCCAAAGAGAAAATACGCAAAATGAAAGTAGTTATAATGACTGTGCCGAAAGCAGTATGGCTCTGATCCAAACATTTAATACCCAGTATCAAGAAAAATTAAGTACAGTGTCAGCATCTTCTCTGATCAGTTCAACTACACAGAAAACAGTTTACAAGAAGGTGACCCTGATGGACAATGATGTTAGCAATGCTTAATAAACACGAACAAAATGTAAATGTAAAATACATTTTCTATAATATTTATGTACAGTCTGTTCGCTATTCTTACGCGGGTTTCGGATTAAAAATTTTATGAGTATTTCCAGGTAAGTACTCGAAAGTTTGACCTGTTCTTTGGGGAAATATCAACTGGTTAAATGAAATGAAAAATAATGTACAACTTTTTAATTAAATAATAATGGAGAATCTTTTGTATAATTGAGAGCCGAATTAAACTTCTTCATTAATGAGTCTAATGTGGCTATTATAAACCTAATAATAATTTAATATTACACTTCACATAGAAAATATGGTCTATGTATAATAAGAGGGTTATTAAGCTCAAATAAAATATTTTCTAACATAAAAATTTGTTCCATGTAGAGAATTTCAAATGAAAAATAAAAATATTGAACTTGCCAACAAAAATGAAAATCAGTCATTATCATCCAAAATATCATAATCTCGTCATCATCATAACTGTCATCATCATTAATTGTTATTATGATTGGACTTATTTCATTTATTTTATTTTCACAAATCCACCAATCTCGCATATCTCGATATACAGTTCCGCCACACTTCTGGAGTTGCAATTGAGAGTGCTTTTCGCCAAGTTTCCCGAACTGCGTCGTCACTATAACCATTAGGCCCAATATGGTTGTCATAATATTGTTTTGCTATTCCCCATATATATTCGATGGGATTAAACTGGCAATGACGGTAGCAGACGTAAAACTTGATGACCGTAACTTTCAATGATCTGATCCACAACAAAGGTTTTTGGTTTTCCGTGTATATTTGCCAAGCGTAATAATTCTGATTTTAATATATATTGAGGAAATGGTATATGTTCCTTTGTCAACCATTCTTTAATTTTATCAACAGTTGGACTTTTGTTTAATACTTCAGAATGGTAAGGTGCATTGTCTAAAATAATTACGCTGGGCTCACTTAAACCTGGGAGAAGTTTTTCATGCAACCATTTTACAAACATTTCTATGTTCATATTATCGTGATAGTCACTGGATTTTCATTTAGATGAAAATATTAAATCAGCACCTTCGATAAAACTCGATTTCCCTACTGCATGTAAAATTATGTGTCGCTTCCCTTCTCCATCGGTATGTTTGATGGACTTTACGTTATCATCTTGCTATATTCTCTTGGTTGCACCTCTAGAAAATATCCATGTTTCGTCTAAATATATAAAATTTGCCCCTTCTTTAAATTTAGAATATTTTCTTAGAAAGTGAATTCTCTTGCGCACGACAGAACTTCTTTCACAAAGGGCCTTTCTGTTACCCTCCTTTTGAAATTTGAAACCCAAGTTATGTATCACTTGTCATAGACTTGTTCTGCCAATGTCGTCAAATTTTCTATCTATTAATTCCGAGACAATTGTATTTAAGGTCACATGTTCCTTGTTGGCCCTCATTCGATATATCTTTCGTTTTCAATGATAGGCGAGTTTTGCGGTGATCTTGTTTCGGCAGTTCACTATTGTGATTTTGTAATACTCCTCTTAATTTGGTTTCACTAATTCCTATAGAGCATCGCATACGCGTTGTTGTACAGACATTACCGATTTTAAAGGACCGCATTTTCTTTTTTCATCTGTAAAATACTTATGTACACTACAAATTAGACTATCTACATCTAACCCACGTCTAGGCATTTTTAAAATTTCCACTAAATTTACAATATACATACAATGTCAACACTTGCAAAGAATCAATTCAACTGCAATATGTGTAACAAATTTAGTACCTACCCTAATGTTATTTTAATTTAAATCTGACCATTAGGGCAATTTTACCTAATTTCTTGGGAAGAGGCTTATTGGAACTGGTTGTCAATGACTAATTTGCATAATTTTGTTAATCCGAAACCCGCGTAAGTATAGCGAACAGACTGTATTCTTTTATATTAGTAAATTTTTTTAATGAAATATCGTTCTACTAAAAACTCAATTTTGACCATATCATACCATATGAAATAAGAGTAGTAGAATATGATTTCTAAAATTTAATTTTTGGACCACCCTATTTGTATATTTGGAAACGTATTCTAACTTGTCACTTCCCCATCGGTATTGTGCGATATTATTCTGATTGGCTATCTCCCACTACGTAGCTGTGGGAATGCTACCTACACCTTGTTATTTACGTATCCTGACAATTTTCAGGATTTACAGATAATAAGGGCAATCATAGCAGTTTTAACCTATAAGTAACTATTAGGTAACAACTCAAATAAAATATTGTTAAATCATTTTTACAGTCAATGGTACATTTTTAAATTTAAATTTACTTACTTGGGAATATTCAATTTTATGTTTGAATCGGTCAATTCCAATTAATAAATCAGAAAGTGCAAACAAAATGCTTCCAGCACATGTACACAGTTTGCTCCATGTCCATAAATCCTAAAAATCAAAACAAAATCGTCAAATATAAATAAAACAAAAGTTAGGCAATAAAAGAGAGAGTGGTAGTCGGTTGCAAGAACATTCATTAACATTTTTGAACTAGATAAAATTTGACAGGCGGACAGGCGTCGTCCACATTAACAAGGTCGTAAGACGCATTACATCACCAAAGCATAAAGGCGCTTGCTTAAATTAAAAAATGTTATTTGAAACTACACAACAAATTTATATAAAAAAAATTAAATGATATACTTTTACTGATTCATTCCCTCCTAGTAGAGGAGACCATGAGAGGTCGATCGTCACCCATCTGATGAGGCATATTTTTTATGAAATTTTATTCATATATTAACACGCTTATGGGAACTTGCCATTCTAAAAGTGTTCATGGCTATTTTTTATTAAATAAATTTTATCTTTTTTATAGCTTTAATTTTTTTGATAACCGAACAAATTTAATTTTAAGAGACAGTTTTTAACATTGAAAATATGCGTCAGTAGGCTTGTTTACTTATTTCTGTTCATGGCTACCTAGCAAAGCAGGTATGAACAGGTAAATCAATATAGGTAACTACACCGATGTCAACCAATAAAATTTGATATCAAAAGAAAGACAATTTAATTATGAAGATAATCGTAAGCGTTTGTTTATCCGAGATATACCTGTCCATGTTACATTTTACATCCCGATTTGAAATGAGATGTGAACGAGGTGTTCGTTCCATTTCAGAAAGTAAGTGTCCTGTGAAGCTAAGTTTGTCAATTTATCCTTTGTTTATGAATATAAAAGTGATTAGTTTGTTTAATTTTTGGTTAGATTTCAAATTTAGGTTGATTTGTAATCTCAAAAGTGAAATTTAAAAATTATAAACTTCTAACTTGTAATTGTCATTTTATCACGTGACCAATAAAGTCTAGAGCGTTTATTACATCTACATTCAGATCTAATTTCATATCACGTGATAAAAAATTCACATCACAACATCTGAGATGCATCCCATATGGATATTCAAACGCGGCAGAAGTAGCACTGGAAATTGTAAAGACAAAAAAACATTTTAGCGATGAGTGCTTATTAAGAATTGTGCAATCACAATGGCAAAACAATTCAAGGAAACAAAAATTTCTGAAAAATTTTAAACATTCTCAGTGTCGCATCAACCAACAGTAAGAGGGGTGTACAAATAAAAATCTTATCCTACTAATATACCGGGTGTTCAGATTAAAGTGGGTACCACATTTTAAAGTCCTATCAAACATACTATTATAGGGCTGTAGTTAGCTTGGATGTAAGCAAAATCTTTATTTGTTGGGATTTTCTTTTAATTTTGGGCACAATTTGAAATCGTAGTAAACGAAGCCACCAGGCAAATTGTCAATAATTTATTATTTATATAGGTGTAAAAGGAATATGCTACTAGAAACTCTTTGTATAACTAAATTGGCATGTAGTCCAGTAGTGAGTCAGTTACATCATCTAATTTGCCACATTGTTTGAATGGGGCAATGTTGTCGAGCAATATCGCCAAATGGAAGGAGGAAAAACAGATCTCTGTGCTATGAGTGATTCTGGTATTTATATTCAACCTGTTGATGTTAAGATAACAGTAGGCATAACTTGAAACTGTTCCTTTGAACAGGAGTGTGCAAAAAAAAACAATCCTATCAGATTTGTGTTCGACGAGAATTGGCTAACATCGGCCGATATAAGAGAAGCACCTCTTGGCGAGGTTGTCAACTACATTAAATCTGTAGGCTGGTTCACGAGCTAGGAGGTGCCTATTTACTTAAGAGGATGCACTATGGGCGTAGTGAGGCCTAAGTGCCGTTGGTTAACCCACCCTCCACACGTTACAGATACAGATAGTAACAAAAAAAATAATACGTTTTATTTTTTGGAACTATTGTAAGTAGTATGCTATGTAATTTTTATATTAATATTTATATAATAACAAATTTATTAAATTTAAGAAAAACAAAACTCCAAATTAATTAAGCAAGAAATAATTTTAACATTGGAAATAAACCCGGCCCTGTTTAATGTTTAACAATCGACGACACAGGGTCTAAAAACTACCCAACAAGCCAAAAGTGAATTATGTTGATACAGTAAACGCCAAATCTAAAGAACCAAGGACGCGCATTTATAATGCTACGAACACGTCTACCGATGAATAGAATTGGTAGCTTACCTAGAAAGTTGTAAACCAGGGCCGCGTATATTTTAAGACATAAAATAAATGGAAAATAGTAAATGATGCTTGTTCATACATATTGCTTAGTGTTATTATTAGTACATAATTCTATAGTCAATTAAAAAATCATTATTTTTAGGTGAGCCGACTTTAGGTTAAGGAGAGCTCTGGTGGACTAGAATTTTGTATTTTAACAGACATTAATTTTTTTATAAACAAATATGAAATAATATGTGTATGAAGTAATATATCCTTCCGATTTTTTATACCAGGTCTTCATTTCAAAACTGGATAGTCCAAATAACTTCTGATTTTACGTAAATTTAAGAAAAACAAAAACATGTTCAATTTTATAATATATAGCCTGTAAGTAAATACAAACAACGTGAATAGTAAATCACAAATAAATAATATGTCTTCGTCAGATTCTTCGTTGGAAGAAGACTCGTCACTGTCGTCACTGGAATCCTCATTAGGATTAATGACGATAGGATTAATTTCCGAACATAAATCAGTTTGTATTTCTTTTTCAAAATATTTATTATTATTTTTTTTTTAATTTGGTGTCATCGGCTTCGACTACTACGGTCATTAGCCTCGTGTTCTGTGTAGGCTTTGTTACTGTTTTCCAGCGCCACTTTAGGAACAGCACTGTTAAGTAGAACCCAACAGTGAATGGTTGAGTGGAGAATCCTACCAAGGCATTAGAATTAATTTTAAATAATTAAATTAAATGAAAAAATCCCGGCTAACGGTGGGATTCGATCCTGAGACCTTCCGATCTCAAAGTCATGACTCTAACCACTGAGCTAACCCACCCCCCATTTATTATTATTATTATTATTATTATTTTTATTATTATTCACTGACATGAGCTGAGAACCGAAGTCCTATGAAGCTCATATTATTTTAAAAAATTTAGTTAAAAATAAACAATTTTTTTCAATCTATAAACTATATCTAAAAATTGATATTAAAAAAAATGAAAGCATAAGACAATAAATTACGTTAAATTACATTACTATTTGTTGTGATTATAATTTATTGTCTCTTTACGGATATATACATACTTAGCCTAATAAATCAAATTTGTTTTTAAACGAGTTAACTGAAGGTGCGCATACAACGTTATCAGGTAAATTGTTCCATACAGAGTTAAAAATTTTCCTTTTTTAATTTGAACATATGCCCACGTAGGCGCAGGTCATTATTTAATACAAATAAATTCGAAAGATCGACACCGAACATATGCCTAATTGCGCGAAAACAAACGATTAAATCACCACGCAGTCGACGCTCACCCAAAAGAGTCAGATTAGCGGTAGACAGGCGCTGTTCATACGGTGGCCTTCTTATACCATACGGAAGCCTTGTTGCAAGTCGCTGCACATTTTACAATCTCTTTTGATCCGAGATTAATACGGGACACCAAACAGGACCACAGTACTCCAGGCGAGGACGAACATATGTTGCGTATATTTTCAGGGAGAAACATTGCCAAAAGTCTTTTTTAATAAGAATAGTTGAGAGTTTGATTGTTTGCTTACTGATAATATGTGCTCTGACCACGTTAAGTCTCTAGTAATGATAACGCCGAGATCATTTTGGCATTATTATTAATATTATACACTAATTTAGGATTGTTTTTACCGATATTAAGAACAACATATTATCTTCTACCTTTATAACATGATCGCATCGCTTTTTCCATTCCTCCATACCGATTTTGTTAAATTCTTCTTCTAATTGTTTTACATCTTCTAATTTAAAGGTAACATTCCTTTAACTGACATTATTCTTAACAGTTGCCCAAATCAATTCGGGGTGATATGGGGGTAACCGTAAAGTGGTGTGGCCGTATTCTCGACAAAACTCATCAAATGCATATGTTACATGTCGGTCCTTATGCGATTTAATCAGTTCATATAACTCTGGTTTCAAAATTGAAATTAGGTGCTCGATTTGTCTGTACATTGTGATAACTAGCATTATCACAAACAATTACTGAATTAGGTGGAAGATTAAGTATTAACTTCTCTCCTAACCATTTGCCGTAATTTTCCGAATTCATTTCGGAATGATAATCTCCAGACTTGGTCCCTGATTTGAATATCAACAAACTATTTTTGATAAAACCCATTTCTTCCCCACCGTGAACTATATTAAGCCTTTAGCCTTTAGAAATAACAGAAAACAAACCTTTTGTAGAATCGTCTGTCCAATTATTGGAAGAAGTGTGTCCGCTGTGTATATTTCATCTAAATAAACGATTGGTCTATTTTGATTTCTAAAATATTTTATCTGTCTAAAATATTTTACTCTTCAGTTTTTCCACCAAAATTTTACGATTAATTTGTGTTATTCTCCACTTAACCTTTTAACACTAACACGAGACTTTTCTGTTATATGAAAATCGTAAATTATTTTTCGAATGTCCCTCAATTGATATTCAGGGAGATTCGTAGCGGTTGATTTTTTTCCTAGGTGTGGAAAATGTAATTTTTCCAGTTGTTTCCATTGACTGTTTACCTTCCTTCAAAATTCTTTTAACGGTAGTATAAGAAACACCTGTAAAAACGTAATATTATATTAATGTTAAATTTAGTATTTTTTTTACATTTATTAGGAAACAAAAATCTTTAGAAACAAGATAAATTTAAAAAAATTAAATATAAAATATTAATCAAAAATAAAATGCATAGATATGTGTGTAAAATACAAAAAAATATGGAAAACTACGCAAGTTTAATCATCTAAAGTAACTCCTTCCTTTTTTGTTGTGTCAAAATATTTAAAAACATTGTATATTACTTCACGACTTTGTCGTTAATAACAGATCTGCGCTTTTTTTCACCCACAATAGAAGACATTATCAAAAATAAAACAAGTCACTTTAACCAAAACACAGAAACAAGAAACAAACAATGATCTAGTCATTACGCTACTGACCGTAAGCAAGGACAAGGTTCAAATTGTAAACGAACTTGAGCATTTGCGCTGGTTCTTTAGATTTGGCGTTTACTGGTTGCATGAGCATGAGCGGGAAAGAGGTACGAGACCGCGACGTGCAAGTCACTGAAGTAATTTAAAATTGTTATCATAATATGGAATCCGCGACAACTACCTGGAAAAGTGAAATAACAATTTTGAACCTGTTCTTTCTGTTCAGTTAAAGATCAAATCAGTTTTATCCTTCTACCCCTATATAAATTTTCGCATTTGAATTTCCTTGTTGTGCTGATTCCAAAAATTAATAAAATTGAGAAAAAAGTTTTAAATAGTAGGTTAATATCCTTATTATTTCGCATCTAATTAGACACACCGCAAAATTCCAACAATAGAGGATTAATGAACTACCTACCAGTTTTTTTACCTTGAAAAACTGGTTAGTAGATTTTACATTACAATAATTACTATACAATTTTTATTGTTTGTAAATAGTAGTATTGTTCAATAAATATCAAACAACGATAATATTATAGTAGTCATAAAATTTTATTCGAATCTTTTCTAGCATCAAGTAAAATTTTTACCAACTACAAAAATATTTTATAAAATGTTTGATTTCAACAAAAAAATGTGTGGAGTATCAATTTAATGTAAATTAAATTTGGCATGTCCCTTATTGTTCTACGAAATTGTTTTGAATTTATTAAAAATAAATAATTAGATATTATTTGCATACAAAAATATAATATTTGTAATAATCTACCCAATGAGTTTACCTATGAAAGAAGGCCAATATGTAATTTGAAATACAAACTTACCTCAAAAAATTGTACTCTAGCTATAGCTCTCCATAGCATTGTGGCAATTACAAATATATAAATTGGAACACCAAATACGAATACACCGTGTAAACCTGGCAGAAGATAGAGCACAACTGAAAAATAATACAGGATAAATCAAAACTAACTTATGAATCAAAAAATCACTACTTAAGAAATATGTATTAAGTGGTATAGTTAAAGAAATATTTACAATATGTTTTCAATCCTGACCAGAAGAACGGTATAGAAACACAGTGCTATTGAATATACGTCCCGCAATTAGACGGTCATATTTTAACAGCGTAATTTAAATCCTAAAATAGGAGTAAAAGTTCATATAAACATTATAGGTCTGAAATCGTTTCGTTTTCGAGATACAGAGTGTTACAAGTGAAGTCCTGATAGCACATTTCTGTAAATATTTTCTAAAATTTCTTTAGTCGCCGGTTTTCCAAAGTTAAAAAAATAAAATTTCTGATTCCACAGGCCTACTAATTATTGTTTACACTTTTATCATGAAATTTTCAAATGCTCTTCTCTTGAAAATGGGGCGTTCTAGCGAGATGCAACAAAGGTAGCTTTATAATAAAGAAAAAATTGGTTTTCCAAAAGTTATAGTCAAAAATGTTAAAAACTGTCAATAAAAAAACTTGGAGCAATTTTACCCTAAGTCACCCTAATTTACCTAGTCATGAAGATGATCAAAAACTGGAGTTTAGTCCATTAAATAGATTGTAAAAAGGTAAGCATTTGTACCAAATTTCACTCAGTTATCTTTAAACGTTTAGAAAATATTTACAAAAGTGTGTCATCAGGACTTCACTTTTAACATCCTGTATCTCGGAAAAGAAACGTTTTTGGACCTATGTTTATATGAACTTTTACTCTTATTTTAGGATGTAGATTACGCTGTTAAAATATGACCGTCTAATTTCGGGACACCCTGTATAGAAATGGAATAATACGTCGGCGAGTGCAGACCGCAATATTCCATGATTGTCATCGAAAAGGCGTAGTTAAAGCAATTATTCTTCTCGCGTGATGCGTTGGTTAACGTACTGTATGTTACGACTATGAGAGTTCAAGTTTAATATTACTGTGGTGGAGATTTGCTGCCTTTTTTCACGATGGTAAATAAATTAAATAATTGTTTTTTATTAGTAACATAAAAATATGTGGGGTAAATTAATGTTTTATTTTACCAATTTAATAAATGAAATTTCATAGTACACGGTGACTCGATATTTTAATTTGTTTTATAGACACGCACACAAATTAAAAATAAATGTTATATAAATTTGAAAAAGACATTCTGAAAATATTTTAGGATACACAGGATGACATTCTTTTGCCTGGCAAATAAAAATGTATATCTATTATTTAAATAGAACACCATGTATTTCATTTCAGTTTTAAAATAGTCTGGTAAGTTTGTTTTCAACACCAGAAATACATTTTTAAAGAAATTAAATTAAGTTAAAGAAAATTATTTAATTTTTAATTCAATTTTTATTTATTTATTTAAAAAGCTATTTCAAACTCCTTCTGACTCGCCAATAGACGTATAAAAATGTAAACGAAATTATATTGCTCAATTTTTAAACACAAGAAATGATGTCAGGTCATCAACCACATAGATTTGGTAAACTACAAAAATTGAGCGAGTCGGTACTATTTTGAAATAGTTCAAAAATCTAGGAATTTTGAGTAGTCAGTTGAGAACGGGACAACCGAGAAGGTGGACTCAAAAAACCGACCACCGCCAGCATAAAAATAGGGTAGTAATAAAATCAGTAATAGTAATTATTAAAAATAGCATTTAGAAAACCGAAACGGGAGATTGATTTTGAGTTTTGGCATAATCAAATAAAATTTATAGAAAATAAAATACTTTACAATTCTAAAAATTTTATAATATTTTCTAGTCATTTGATAAGCTTTTAAAGCTTTTTAAAGTTTTTTTATGCTGCCATTTATAATAATAAGAGCAATTAGAAAGCCGAAATAATTTTTTTTATCATTTGCTTATTCAGGGTCCTGCAAAAGTGGGTCGCACTTTTTCAAAGCTGGCATTTCATAATAGTTACACATTAAAAAAAAAACGTTGGTTATAAATAGGGATATAGAACTATTATGTAAAAATATAAATATTTAACTTTACAGAACGTCCCAATTCATACTTTTTTGTTTAACGGTATGATTCTTATCACTTATCACAATTATGTTTCGGTCGGACTTTTTATTTCAATCTCCTTTTTTTTATATAAACGAAAAAAAGAAATTTTGATGATTTACAGCTATTCGTACTTACCCATGGTACTCAATGAGTACAATGCAATCCCAATTGGTAGTTGAAGAGGTTTGAACCCAAATGCTCGAATATACTGAATATGGCCGGCGATAAACGCCAACATACCCAAATCGAAGTATTGGTTCCATATCAGAAGGGCGTCTCCAATACAACAGAATATTAGACCCATGAGGATCCTTCTGGAATATTTGTATCTGAAAATAACATTTTGTTAAACTGGACAATTCTTAACGTGTGTCAATAATTTATTAGACAAATTTCCTAGATAACAAAACCAAATATCTAGAAATAATGATTAACCCGTAATTATATTTCTTGTCTCCCAGTGTTATGCAACAAAATTTGAATTCTGTCTTTTAGGAAAGAGTGTTAATTTATTAAAACAGGGTATCCTGAAATTGCATGTACATGGAGCTACCACAGATTTATGGGCTCAAAATAAGTTGATTTAACCGTACTTACCAATACTTATACCAACTTGCTTCGTTTGTTTGGCCGCTAGAGATTGGGCTGTTGGTCTACCGGTCAAAAGATCGGTAGGCCCTCGTCAAGGGAGTCCCACGAAAAGAACGAATAACCAAATACGAAGAACGTTTTGAACATTGTCTTTTTACAGGTTTTTCAATGCTTTTGGTTTTCCGGGAGTAGTGGGTGCCATTGATTGCACTCATGTAGCCATCGTTCCATCAAAGACCAATGATCCACTTTATCCTGAACATATATATGTGAATAGGAAAGGCGATCACTCAATTAATGTTCAGTTAGTAAGTAAAATTTATATTTAGTGTTTTTAACGTTTTTGTGTTTATTTTAATTAATAATTCATCAAAATTTGTGTTTGCACATAATTGATCACCTAAATTGTAAAGTTTTAAGTTAACTATCATTTTCTGTTATAGGTATGTGACTCCAATATGAAGATTTTAAACATTAACGCAAGATACCCAGTAAGTACAAATGATCAATATATTTTTAACAATTCAAATATTTTACAAGCAGTAGTTGCATTACATACTAAAGGAAATACAGGTTTTCACTTAATTGGTAAGTTTCAGTCAATTATTTATTCTTTATATAGTACAGCTCTTTTTTATTGAACCAACCAAATGAAGGAAATAGTAGTATATATTTTTTAGACGATTCTGGATATTATTTGAGGCTATGGCTATTAACTAACTCCTTTTGAAGAAGCTCCTCCAAATTCTAATGAGGAGAGGTATAATACCTGCCAACGTTCAGCAAGAAGCATTATAGGAAGATGCAATGGTTTATTAATAATGAGGTTTAGATGCTTACTAAAGCACAGAGTGTTGCACTACAAACCTGAAAAAGCCTCTAAAATAATCAACGCATGCACCATTCTACATAATATGTGTTTAGATCATAATGTTCCAGAGCCTGAAGTTGAACCTGAAGATGAAAATTTAGAAATTTATGTTCATGAAAATGTTGAGATTGAGGAAAACATTCAAAATCAAAATAGAAGAATTAATAGAGATCTAGTAGCTGGACGCAGAAAACGCCAACAAATAATGATGTCACATTTTAGAAATTAATTTTTGTTTATAGTTCAATAAATAATTAAACTTTGGAAATTCTTTTATTACAAAAAAAAAAAAAAATAAACATATTATTTTACAAAACAAAAGAACATATTTTAACTAAATAAGAGAACATATTTTATTAAAAAACAAAAGAACATAATTTTAAATTAATAAAAAACTATAACAAAAACATATATTAAAAATGAGATCACATCCTAATATAAAAATAAAACAGATGAAGTCAAGATTAAAATATTCTTTTAATCAACAACATTATTATTTTCAATTATTGCCGTCAGTGCAGCTAAAATGCCTGCCAAAATGTCATTTTGATTCCGTTGCAATTCATTTTTTTTCGCTAAGTAAGTTTAATTTCTGGGTGTAATAGTTGTTCATAATAACGTTTCTTTTTTTAGTTACATTTGTCAAATTTATTGTAGCCTCAGTTGATTTTTTTACTTGTTGTTTCCTGCCTAAAGGAGTTTTTCTTTTTAAAACTTTCTATAAAGTAATTTTTACATTAAAAATTGTGTCTTACTTTGTACACTTATTTCAGGAGGAAGATTTTCCGAATTCGACATTTCCGTTTCTACTGGATCATTTCTCTCCGTCTCTTCATCTACTACATAATCATGATCATTTTCAACATTTTCGACATGTTCTTGTGATTCCTAAAAATTTTTGTTACATGCTTTGTGCTATACTTTTAATTGCAAACTTACCACTACTATAACAGACTCCATACAAGTGTTATGGTCCTCACACACAGTAGGTCCAATTATATTTAGTAAGGAATCCTCCCATTCATTTAAAACCTGTTCTGGCGGTTCACCTTCTCCCGTTTGACGCATCTGTGATTTTTTTTTGATAGTTTTCCCTTCGTCTTTGACTTCATGTCATGCCAACACTACAAAATCGAGAATATTGAACAAAAAATTAATGGGGCCAAATTATAATCTAAGACTATTTGCAAAATTGATTTATTTAATGGAAGGCTATCATTTAAGTTGTAGATAAATACTCACTTATCGCCGTTGTGCCAGTCTTTTTTTGCTCCTGGCATTGAATTTAAGTCATTTGCAACATCAGTCCATAGGGATGTTGCTTTTTTCAGAGTGAATGAAGCCGTAAATTTCCCATTGACTAATTCTGGGTGACTATGCATAAAATCAATCAAACGTTGATCACTAGTGATTTTCAAACTGCGATTTTCCATTTTTCTCTTTTATTTATGAATAAATAACAAAACTATTAACAAATAAACAAACAAATAAACTCAATAAACTATTGTCATGCAATGACGTATGACATAACGTTTATATATGTCGGTAAAGTAGTTTTATACTAGGTTTCTATTGGTGGATCATCGAATTTTGCTGAAATAACCTACGACTCTTTTTTAGGTTAATCTATTCGCAAAATATGAATCGAAGAGCATTCAAAAATATACTTTCCTTGACGCATGCGATAAATGTCATGCGCCAATTGACGCATACTACTTTTAGTGAAAGGTTTCAAAAATTAACCCATAATCAGAGATAAGGGAGATAAAGATAGGAAACGCCCATAAGAAGCCAATGCTTAACAACGACCAGCTTTATCGCTTTTTTAATAGGTTTATTTAAATATCTTCAACAACTTCAGAACATAAAACAATAAAAATCAAAAACTACTTGCAAAGATTCATAGGCCGTTTCTAATTTCTGAAGGCAGTCATTTTCGTTGTGACTTATCCTGATTTTGACCATGGTGATTTTGTACCAACACCGACTATCACGCCATAAGAAAAGCTTGCATGCAAAATTTCACTTTCAAGTGACAGTCATTGATTACTTTAAATGTTTTAATTTAATTAGTTTATCCATTGGGCAGTGAAGTTTCCCTTACACCGCAGCTAAATTGTACAATACACTGACTGCCTAAAGAATTTCGATTGTACACTCTAATTAATTTTTAAAAAAGGTTAAAAAGCATGCTGGCCCGGCTCTGGACGGTTTTAATGAAAACAAAAATTTCTGCTCATCTTGGATCTCCCTTTTTGGTTCTTGGTATAATTTTGATGAACAAAAAAAGCCTGTCACAGCCGGGAGTCGAACCCGGACTCCTTGTATGCTAGACAAGTCCCCTTCCTTCTAGACAATTTCCAATTTTCACACTCAGGTTTACGTCTCATAATGTATATTGAAAACTTAACATATGGGCTTAGTATGCATAAATGCATTTTTCATACAATCCGAGCTTGAACGCCGTCAGGCCCGAATAAGCACATCAAATTTCTGTTCAGGAATCTCGACAGTCAACGTCGTAATGGTCTAGAAGAAGGAAGGGCATTTGTCTAGTATACAAGGATGTACGGGTTTGATCCCTGGCTGTGACAGGCTTTTTCAAATCACTTAGTATTTGTTTACAGCTTTGTGGTTCGGGGATGGTCTTAATAATTCGTAGGGGGATTTTTGAGATTAGTTTCCGAATTATTAAATTATTCATTTTTATTTAACTTTGTTGATATCTAGCAGTTAAACGAAGCAAGTTGATATATAGATAAGTTTGGTTAAATAAACTTATTTTGAGCCCATACATTTGTGGTAGTTCCAAGTACACGCAATTTCTTTCAATTATTTAAATTTATGTTTCAAATAATTATATTATAGTATATTGCGTAATAAGTATTGTAAAAAGCATATTATTACGTACGAATGGAAAAGTGGTAAATCCTTGAGTAACGGGCATTACGTACTATACTTTACCTATGACCAGTTACACAGATAAATATGCATGTGAATACTAATATACTTTGTGCGTTTTGTTGAAGGTGCTTTTTGATTACTGTGCAATTTGTTATTAGGACCAAACTAATTTTAAAATAATTTATCACTTTTACTTATTTATAAAATTAAATAAACATGAAAAATAAAAAATTATTTAATTAGTCCCCAGATTTGATCCCGGGCCTCTCGTGTGAAAGACAAACGCTGCGCGCCGTGCCCTCACCTTCACGGCCACACTTTAGTTTTAATACTCGTAATTAAATTAGTTTCATATAGTTAGATTGAAATTTAGAAATGCTATTATTTATCGAATCTACACAAGAATAACTCATTCTTACGTATATTTAATCTCAATAACTAAAAAATATAAGTACTGATAATTAGTTTGACAAAACTGTCACTTATATAAAATTTTAAAAATAACATTAGACGGGTGACCAAAATATAAACCTAATGGTTGATTTAATTTTTTGCAGTGTTCTTAATAGGTAGAATGGATATGAAATTCGTTCAGTTGAACGCAATGGCACACTTTTTCGTTTTGTAGTCTGTGCATTGCTAAGCTAATATCCATGTGGGTGTAAAAAAAATTGGTTTCTATGTTGTACTGAAATAAAGGGCCTAAAGAAAAATCAATTATTTATTTTCTCCAATTATTCTAAGTAAAAATGTTGATTTTGGAACTATTTTCAAAATAATACTAGAATAGTTTTTAAACTCTAGTTTCGAAATGATCTTTACCTATAATGTGAATGAAATATAATTAAAATATTTGTAATGACAGGATATCCGCAATTCACATTGTAATCATATTTTTCATTCATATTTATTAAATGCAATTACCAGTTTGTTTATTTAGTAACTAAGTTTGCGGATTGGAATTTGAGGGCTGCCAGGTACTAGACGAGTAATAGTTAAGAATTTATAATTGAGACATGTAATACAAATGCCAATACCTTTTTTGCCAGGTGAAACCTATTCCCCCCTCCATCGCCTCCAAGGGGTACTTTGCTCTTGTCAATTTTGACAAAATAAGTGTCAGGTGCTAGAAAAAATGCGGTAAATTGCTGATACTTTGCATACGTAATATCCATTTCAATACATTTTTGTCAGATAAAACCATTTTCCACCCATCGCCTCCAAGGGGTACTTTGCTCTTGTCAATTTTGACAAAATCAGTGCCAGGTACTAAAAAACGGCGGTAAATTGCTAAAACTTCGCATTCGTAATACGCATTCCAATACATTTTTGCCAGGTGAAACCTTTTACCCCATCGCCTCCAAGGGTACCTTGTTCTTGTCAAATTTAACAAAATCGGTGCCAGGTACTAGAAAAACAGCATTAAATTACTTAGACTTCGCACACGTAATACATATCCCAAATATATTTTTGCCAGGTAAAACCATTTCCCTCCATTACCTTCAAGGGGTACTTTGCCCTTGTCAATTTTAACAAAATCAGTGCCAGGTACTAGAAAAAATGCGCTAGATTGCTAAAAATTCGCACGCGTAATATCCATTCCAATATTCTTGCAAGGTTGACCAATTTTCCGTCCATTGTCTCCAAGGCGTATTTTATGTCTGTCAATTTTAAGAAAATCAGCGGCTGGTACTAAAAAAAATATAAAATTATTTCACCTGGCAAAAAGATAAGGAAGTACGTATGCGAGGTATGGAGGTACTGGGGAGAAAAATGATTTCATATATTGGAATGGGTATATGCGAAGTTTTAGCAATCCAGCGCGTTTTTTCTAGCACCCCTTGGAGGCGATGGGGGAAAACTGGTTTTACCTGACAAAAAGGAATTAGGATGTGTATTACATGTCCTAATTATGAAATCTTAAATATTACTCCTTTGTTATCCAGGCAGCCGTCAAATTCCAATACGCAAATTAAACATACCCGTAAATATTTAATGGCAGTAGGTATAAAGTATAAATTTAATAACAGAAACAGAGATAAAGTATTTGATAAATAATTAAATTACCTACGCATTATTAAATTGATATTAATTATTGTGTTATTGCTGATTAAATTATAACTTTTTTTGATATTTGGTCAATGAATCACCGATTTATTTTATAAAATCAAGGATGTTGTTTTGAAGTGAAACCAAATTTTCATTACCATTTAACAATACAAAACAGTTTTATCTGTGGTATTAATCTAGTTCAAGGACTATTTTCTTATACAAGATAAGGATGTTAATAAATAATTGAATAAAACAGCATTTTATAGACTGAAATAAATCTTTATATAAATAATTCCCTATAAGTCCTCCATAGCGGTCACTCATTCTAGTACTAACTCTAGTCAACTGCAGATATTCATTTATGATAAAAACATTTAATACATTATTTATAATTGAAGAAAGCGGACTGTATTTTGATGAAATAAAACCCACCATTGAAAACTATCCTTGTATATATTAACGTATTTACAAAAGATATAATGAAAAAGTACAATTTTAGAGTCTGACAATCTAATTAATAATAATGTCAACTTCTTCGTAACTAGGGTTTTTAAGGACGAGCACATTATTAAAGGGTTCAACCCCAACAATAATGTTAGGCATAGTTAACAATTTGTAAACAGGCTGTTTCAAAAAATGGTGGCCCCGTTGCTAGGTTAGGTAGAGTACTGAAAAATAAGTGGGGTTAGTTTAATAAAAAAAAATCGTCATAACAAGGTCATAACGGTATTCGTATTTGAGATGTAGGGTGTTGAAATTTCTAGTTTTTTTGTTGTTTATTTAATTTATAAATAGATGCAAATATAAGTTTACGACTTCAAATGAGTACTGTCAAAATTAACTATATCAATAAACTATCCACAATAAACCCAGAGCCCACTAGACCATTTTAAATCGGTTTTTTATTTTTTCTCGATAACTGTCGCAGATATAAATTAATTTTCTATTTTACATTTTAGGTACCAGCGATGCACCGCAAAAAAGTATAGAGGAAAAAAATGCGGCATGACCCTTGAAAAAATATCATCCTATAGATTCTCACAAACATTTGGCAGTCTCAATTATATAAGCCCTACAGCGTAATCTAGACTCCAAATTTGAGTTAAATATTTTAAAAATTGCAGGAGCTATAAAGAAAAAACAAAAATCTAGAAATTTCAAATCTCAAATACGGATGCCGTTAAGACACTTTTTACTAACCTAACCCAATTTATTTTTTAGTACCTAACCTAGCAACACCCTGTATATCAGCCTGATTAAGAGCTGTTGGAGGCTGTAACTTAATAATTTAACGTTTTCTTTTTTTTTGAGAAA